AAAAAAAAAAAAAAAAAAAAAAAAGAACTACAAGATATATGAATAGAATAATGTTCAAAAGAAAAAGGTTGCCTTCTTATCAAGAAGGAATATAAATTTCACGCTTCTTTATAAAATGTTTTTTCAAATTTCAAATTTTGATAAAAGGTTTTTGAAAAGATTAGAGTTGATAAAACTAAAATGAACATCATTAAATTTTTTATTACAAAAAGACATTCAATGTTTACCATTTGATTCGATCAAACATACCTATAATTCAAAAAAATTATAGTTAATTTCATTTCTTCATTACAAACCCTAACCCCATCATAAAATAATAATAAATGATTTATTTACTGAATCAAGTTGGGATCTTGATGTTCCTCGTGATTGTTAAGGTGGCAGACACATAAATAAACCAATTAATCAGCCAATCAATTAATAAAAACCAATAAAGTGCGTGGGATTCAGTGTAATAACTCAGATTTAAACATCTCAACACCAACACTTTGATGATAATCATCATTAGCCAATAATAAGAGCAACAATTAATAGTAATAATTATATAATTCAATCTGAGTTAAAAGAAAAAAGAAAAAAGAAATGAAGAAATTTAAGTTAAGGGAGTAGGAGAATGGGGAGGAGAAATGGTATCCTTCTTCCCAAGATTGTGCTTATTGTTATGCATCCAAACCTTAAGAACTCTCCTCTTCACTCCAATCTCTTCACAGAATTGCTGCACCACACTCTCCTCTTGTTTCTGAATCTTCCATCCAACTTTCTCTGCAAACCTCAGCATCTTCTCCTTTTGCTCCGCCGTGAACTTTGTTCGGAATCGCTTCTTGTTCATCATTGGCCCCGAGTACGCCCTCGCCTCCTCGTGCTCCTCTGACTCTGACTGCCCACCTCCCCCGCCGAGCATGTTGTACGACATTATCATATGGTGGGGTTGTGCTCTAGATGATATGAATGCCGGCCCCGCCGCCGATGGATACGCAAATGCAGCTGCCTCTGGTGGGGCGATCATGTTCTTCCCTCCGACGAGGAGCTTCCTCCCAAGGCGAGGATGGTGGAGCCAGTCGTAGGGTTCTCCCTCGATCTCTTTTCGATGGAAGTTTCTATGACAATTGCAAGCCGAACACGTGAGGGCTTCAATGGATCCTTCTTCTCCACTCGGCATGAACTCGCCACACCCATCCGTGGCATTACCTCCCATGGAGGCCGCATGGTTTTTGAGACACTCTTTATATTTTACTTGCTTCTTCGTGTTGTTGTTGTTATTGTTGTTGCTGTTGTTATTATGATTGTGGTGAAGCTCGACTTCCATCTGAGAAGATGGAAGTGGGCTGCCGCCATTGACTGCCGCCGCGATGATATGGTTGCAGGCGGCAGACGGGTCATGGTGATGGATGACATGGTCGTGGTCGTGGCCGTGGCCAACGTAGCGACTATTTAAAGGGATGGGAATGGGAATGGGATGATCTTGAGTAGTGAGCTCCATTATTGTTAAGAAGATGAAGAAAAAGAGAGAAAAATAGGGTATGTTTGGGGTATAAGTGGATTAAAGGGAGATGCTTTGAATTGAGGAAGAAGAAATAAGAAATGGGTTTGGGAAGAAAAATGGTAGAAGAGAGTTATTGCATTGCATATTTGGAGGAGGAGGAGGGAGTTAGGGTGAAGACACTAAATAATAAGTAAAGAGTTTTATAATTAAAAAAAAGTTCTTTTAACCGACAAAACTGGAGAACACAACAAAAGACACAGTGGTTTTTTTTACAAGAAGAAAAAAAAAAAAAAAAAAAAAAAAAAAAAAAAAAAAAAAAAAAAAAAAAAAAAAAAAAAAAAAAAAAAAAAAAAAAAAAAAAAAAAA